GGGGGGGGGGGGAGCATGTGAACGTTGTGATCAGCTGTTTTAGCGCAGTGCTGCTGTACAGACCGACGTTAACAGCAGCCCTGTCTGTGCACACGGAGACCGACTCTGTCGTCCGGTGATCTAACCGCCTTCTGGAAAAGCTTCACAAGTACGTCGGTACGCAAATGCGCTTTGTCAAACAAGTGACGGTACGCATTTCAGATTGTTGCCGCGCATGCGTACCTGCGTACCACTTATGTGCACCCCTGACTATAATAACTCTTCTTAAACTAAGGTTGGGAAAGTTTCACGAGCTGCCACTTTAACTTAATTAATTAATGGGTGCGTCGAGGTGGCTACTCTTTTTAAAAAAACGTTTCCAAAAAATTGCTATTGACCAATCCTTCTAAGATCCAATCACACACATTTCCTTTCATTACCATGTTTTTAACATTATTTGCTACCTTTTTTTTTAAACCATTCCTTTTTCTTTTGTATGAAGTTAATGTCATATTTTGGACATTACTGTCAGTTCGACCTGATATGCAGTATTTGAATAGGTGAGCTGCAGCCTCACCGTGGGACAGGACGTGACTTATGCATGTTTTTGCTTTTTCTTTTTGACCTGATTGGAAGAATTTTCGTTTAATTGGATAAGTAAACATTCATTTCTGATTGTTACTTATTGGGCCATTCAATCCCCAAAGTTAGGCCTTATTCTAATGAATCAATTAAACAATATGATTGGAATTGATGGTCCACCACGTTTAGCAGTTACAGCTCAAGAGGCAATAAAGTGCGTTTCCATTCACCAGTTTTTAGTGCATTTGAAATGAGTATATAACAACACTTGAGTTTTTGCTTGGGTAAGATTGAAAAGTCAACGTTTTGATTTACTAGATCAATATAGTGAGACATTTTTGAGCGTACTTGTATGATTCTTGTGTTTTGGTCCGGATGACAAAACAATAAAGTTTTTAAGACTTTGAAACTGATCAAAAAATAAGTATGTAGGTCTTCTACCCAGCCCTTCTCTAATACACAGAGATTTAAATTTTATTAACAGCTCTTTTGCCACAACGCAGAAATGTCGATAACAGAAAAAAAGGTAGATTTTTGCCAAACAAACACAACATCAAATCAAAATTAGAACACAAAGGAGACAGGAGCATGAAACCGTGTGTAAAAATAACATGTCACTCAGAATAAAAACAGGTTTTAGGATTTGCTTGATCTGATGCTTATGAGGATAGGTAGTGACATTCCTCCAAACATGTCGAATTTTAAAATGACATCCTTCGCACAATGCTGTGAATAAATTCAGGTTTTTTTCTTCTTCTCAATCCTCATATTTTGCCCGATAAATTCACCTTCAAAACACAAAAGCGTCTAAACATAAACGCAGCACAATCCCCACGAGTCCCGACTGACACGCTCAGCCCACGGTCATCATCACCAACCAGGAAGTGGATTAGGCGTTTTAATTATTGGGAGATTTCACCATTGTTGTTGTTTTTATTTTGGGATCATCCCTGGAAAGATAATGCACACTTCAAACTCTGTGTGTGTTTCTAATCTCCTGCTGGATGGAGCCGTTCAGATCCACTCTGCCTGTCAAACCCCACCGACACTCGTCTATTTCAGGCCTTGGCTGGTTGTGCGGATTTTCATTTTTTTAATTTAACGCATAACCTCTCAGATCTGCTGTTTGTCTCCCTGTCAATGGTGTTGGAAAGGGACGGAGGTAGGTGTGTGTGTGAGAGTGTGTGTTCTTAGGAGA